CCTTTGGCCGCTAACGTCGTCGCCGGTTCCGGCCCCGCCCCCTCGGCGCCGACCCCGAACCTGCTGCCGCCCGGCCTGGTCGTGTCCGACCAGAACCTTCAGTGGATCCTGAGCGGCGCCGCCGACGGCCAGCTGAACCCCCAACGAGCGGTGAGTTGAGAAACGCGGCGGCGGCGACGCCTCACGTCGATCGGCGCGCCTTTCCCATTCCTCCGTGTCCCGTCTTGTTTCGCAGTCGGCGGGCGGCCCAAAAGTGGAGAAGGTGTTTTTTACCACAGCCATACCGGTGGGCGGCAGCGCTGGTGAGATTTTGCTTTTCGTGACTTTCCGCCTTCGCGAATGTAAACGCTTTCTTTTTGAATTGAAGCGGCGAGGACGGAATTTGCGCCGCTGATTTGTCCCGATTTGCCGCGGCCCGGTCGGCAAATCCCGGCCGCGAGGCGAGAGCGTCGCTTTTGGCATTGGCCGTTCCTCTGCGCTGTATTTTCAGGCAGCGCCGTCCAGCAGATCGGCCTGAGCCTGCCCGTCATCATCATCAAGCAGGAGGAGTCGTGCCAGTGCCATTGCGCCTGCAGGGACGCGGCCAAAGACGAGGCGTCGCCGCCTCCTCCTCCTCCTCCGGTAGCGCCCGCGCGCCATCCGGCCCCCGCCTGCTCTTCTCCGTGCTGCCTCCCCGCGTCTTCCTCCGAGGTGGGTGAAGTCGAGCCGCGCCCCGCTCGGACGTCGCCGCCGCCGCCGTCGGCGACGTCGCACGGGCTCGCCAACATGGACGTGTCGGACTTCCTCTCGATGCGGAGCCCGGACGCCGCCGCCAACATCGAGGCCCTGCTGCTCGTCGCCGACGACTTCAGCATGGCCACCGAAGGCGAGCCTTAGACGCGGGCGCGCGCCGCCTCGCACCTCCAGTTGCGTTGTCCTTCTCCGCGGCATTGCGCAACGTACCCCGCGCCGCACCCGCGCCGCCGTTTGAGTCTTTTCGCGGTCGTTCACTGTTGCGGGGACAAATGCGGTCCGAGAGGCGTTTTCTTTCCTTGAGGAGCGTTCTTCGTACGATTCAAATTGTATCCGAGTCACGGACGGCGTCCGGCGCGGTTGCGCTGTCTCCACACTGAATTTGTGAGCGCTGCCGATTTGCCGGCCCGGCGGGGGCGGAGGGGGGGCACGCGCTCGGAGCCGGCTTTATTGCACTGATGGAGACGGAGCTCCCCGCGCAATCGTCGCGGGCGGCCGCCAGCGCTCGGAAGCCCGTCCAAAAGACGGCATTCTTGGCAAATTTGGGCTTCCGTCGCATCGCTCCGCTCCACAAGTTCAACCTCATTCGGAATTGCGGATTGTCCTTTATTTATGTCACGAAAGATGAAGAGTCTTTTATTCATTTATTCCGATCAGACATGCATTTAACAACAAAAGAGCCTCAAGGCAGCTCACGCCAACTCCGAACCATTCCAGATATGCAGTACGGTGGTATTATTCGGGTCCAAATGTTCAAATTTACACATCGTAATTTCCACATACGATGAATCAGCTATGCAATTTTCAACAAAAAGTTTTTCAGTGGCATGCGCAACAGACGCCCGGGCACCATAACTCCTTCCTTCCTTGCTCGCTCGCTTCCTTGGTGTCGTGTTTAGAGTATTTTTTTATATGCGTCGCAAACGGTCGGTAGAAAGAGAGAAAAAACGTTGCCACTGATGTCAACCGCACAAAGATGGACAAAGCCCCCCCCCCCCCCCCCCCCCCCCCCCGCGCTGCGGGGGCTCCCTGCCCCCCGCCCCGTTGCCCTTTGGGAATGAGGTGAACGCCCAAGGATGGGAAGCGGGTTCATTTAGGAGCCGCCTGCACCCCAAGGACCGCTCCAGTGAGGTCTTGAAAGATCGATTCCGTTTTAGGAATGGACTCGGTTTCAAACGAGAAATCCAGACGGGTCTTTGTCTTTGCTCGCTGGCCTTGGAGCCCGAGGGGGTCGGACGGCTCGCCCGCGAGCCGAATCGTCGCCCCGAGCGTCCCGCGAGCATCGATGGGGCTCCTTGGCCAAGGCGAACCGGCTCCGTCGCTTGCCTCCCGATCGCAAGTTGACACGCGACGATTGTTTTTTTTTTTGACACGGGTTTATTGCAAGGGAGCCATCATTCATTTGACAATTGCATCGAATCGGTCCAGGAGGAAATCGCTACGGCGCGTGCTTCCGAAGGGGGATGTCTCGCCGCCACCCGGCCTGCGAGAATGTGTGTGTGTGTGTCTAGGTTGGATGTTTGCATATGCTCGATATCACAACTTTCTCAACTAAGAGCACTGTACTAATAAAAACGCATTGCCTGGGGAGAGCGCCGTTGTTGTCTCATTTTAGCGAGAAGCGGGTGGTGGTTTTTGTGGCGGCAAGGTCTCGTCCGGCAGAGATCTCGTCTGTGGGGGAAAACAAACAAATTCAAAAGTCGAGTCGCGGTGCCCGAAACGGCGTCGACGTTGCTCACCACGAGAACGCGGTCGAGCTCTTTCAAGTCCTGCAGGATTTGATTGCACAAGGCGATTTGCTCCGACGCCGTCCGGATCCTCTCGTCGACATCCCGCCGCACCTTCGACGAAACGGCGCGCGAAATGTTTAGCCTGAAAACGACTCGGCCCGCTTGCGATTTCTCCCCACTGACCCTTTCCGCGACGGGCGCGCGAGCACCATTCGCCTCGGACATCGTGGGTTCCGGAGACCTCGAAGCGTTTTTGACTCGGCACGCAACGAATACGAGACGAGGCAGGTGATTCAAATCGGCCGTCGTTTTTGATCGCGCGCGTTTTTTTATTGGTCGAGGCGGCGGGGACCGTCAAAAGTGACCTTTCGAAACGTTTTCAAAATTAAATGGGGCCGGAAGCCACAACATCCAAAATTATTGTCACTCGTCTCAAGTTTTTAGTTGGACGTCCACGTACTTTGGGTGGCCGACGGGGAAAAAGAACTCGAAAGCAAATGCGACTGGCCCTTTAAGAATGACGTCAACAAGCATTCGGGGCGGAACCCGGAAGAATTCACTTCCGTCTTGGCTGCGTGTTTCTCCTCTTCGACCCGTGGACTTGACGCGGTTTCATGAGGGCTTTTCGGCAGTTGGCCGTACAAATACTCCAATTCAGAGGCGAAATGTGTGAACCCTTGAAGACCAAAGTGCTGCGTTTGCCACCGGCCGGCGGCGACGGACCGTTTGTTCCGGAGGAAGGTAACGAACGAACGAACGAACGCGCTCGACGACCCCGAAAATGCCCCTCTCTGTCCGGTCTTGTGGAGTAGTCGGAAGAGTCGGCGACGTCGACGTGGCTGCTTGTGACGTCAGATTGTCTGCACCGTTGCCGTGTTGAAAAGCGGGAAGGCTTTCTGTTACGGCGGTCCAACCAAGAGCCCAGAAAACCAGCGCTTCGGCTTTCGAAGTCACTGTAACGCGAGAACGGCATGTATATTCCAAAATGGGAGGGCGCTTTAGGCACCAGCGTTTTTGACCTTTCACCCCCCAAGCCCCTCGAAAAATTAGGCGTGATTTGATACTGCAGCTCAAGCACGGGCCGGTAAATTTGCCGGTTGCTCTCTGTTCCTCCCCTCGTCCCCACGGTCACGTGACCGAAGGAACAAAATCTCCTCCTCCCTCTGCGATCGGGCGAGAAGAGAAGCTCGGTCATCCGGCAGGGAGTCCCAAGTCCTCCGCGCTGAGAGGACAAGTTTGCCGCGAGGCGGCTCGGGTATCTTTTCGCGGATGTCTCGGGGACGCCTCCCCCGGGTGAGGTATTCCGGGCACGAAGGCCCCCGGCCGGATATGACCCAGGACACGCCGGAGAGACCCGGTGCCCCGGCTGGCCTCGGGATCCCTCCGGAAGAAGTGGCTGGGGAGAGGGAACTCTGAAGTAAGCGCAAGATAATGGAGGCCGAGAGCTGAAGCATCAACAAGGGACAGCGTTCCCTCACCTATCGTGCACGGTGGGGACTGGGACTCGGCCGTGAGAGTGAAAAACCGCAACCCCCCCCCCACAGGGGAAGGTGTCGGGCGGGGCCGCCGAGACACGCGGCCAATCGGCTCACGGGCTATAAATCCACCGCCGGCGTCATCGCTCAACGTCGCGGGAACCGGTCGCGCGTGCGGGCGTGTCCAAAACCTCGGGCGTCGTCGGGCATTTTTTTTTTTTTCCCCGGCGAGGTCCTTGAAGGTGGAATCCCCTTTTTTCCGCAGATGTCGCCGCCGTCCTGAGCCGCACGGCGACGGCCCTGCGGGACGGCCGCGTGGTGGCCGTGCCCACCGACACCATCTACGGCCTGGCGTGCCTGGCCCAGAACTCGGCCGCCGTGCGCCGCATCTACGACATCAAGGGGCGCGACGAGCAGAAGCCTTTGGCCATTTGCGTGGGCGAAATCCACGACATCTACAAGTAAGAACGCAATCCAGAGCCCGAACGGTCGGGCTTCTTCGATTTGACGGGGCAACGCCGAGCGGGATCGGCAATCCAAAGGGCGAGAGCCGACCCTCTTTTTTCCTCTCCGTGCGCAGGTACTGTCGGGTGAAGGTGAAGGAGGACCTGCTCCGCGACCTCCTGCCGGGTCCGGTCACGCTGGTGCTGGAAAGGTCGCAAGTGCTCAACAGAGAGCTCAACCCCTTCACCGCGGTGAGTCGCGCCGTGCCAAACGCGGCTGGCCCCTCCCCCTCCTCCTTCTCGATATTCACGGCGTGCGCTCGCACTCAGCTCGTCGGCGTCCGCATCCCGGACTGCGCCTTCATCCGTCGTCTTTGTCAGATGTGCGGCGAGCCTCTGGCGCTGACCAGCGCCAACGTCAGCGCGCAAAGCAGCACCGTGGCCGCCCACGTAAGTGCCGCTCCAAACGATGGCGGTCAGCTGTAGCGTCGGCGCCAATAAACGGGTTCTCTCTCTTTGGTCGCTCTTTTTTTTTTTTATTGCGCGCAAAGCAGCACCGTGGCCGCCCACGTAAGTGTCGACCCGTGCAGGGGGAGGCCCCGCCCCGCTACGCTACGCCCGCGTCCGAGGCCGGTCGCGGATAAGCGCCGTCCAAGATGGACGGAATGGCGGCGTTCGCCTCGCCCGTACGCCGTCCCGAACCCGCGTGCCGCTCCAAACGACGGCAGTCAGCTGTAGCGTCGGCGCCAATCAACGGGTCTCTCTCTTTGGTCGCTCTTTTTCATCGGAAGGAATTTGAAGATCTTTGGCCCGAGCTGGCCGTGGTGGTGGACGGAGGGCCGATAGGAGACCGGAGCCGGCTGGGCTCCACCGTGGTGGACCTGTCCGCGCCCGGCAGGTACCGGATCATCAGAGCCGGCCGGTAAGCTCCTCCTCTTCTTCATTTCGACGCCGGAAAAAAAGGGCTTCCTGGCCGTCGCGTCGGCTGTCATTTTACTTTCCATCGGAATATTCCCGCGCCGATTGCTTTTGCGAGTCGAGGTGCCGCCGCATCGATGTGGCGCGCGCCAGTCGTTCTGCCGCGGTTTCTTTGCGTGTGCTTGAGGAGGAGAACCCCAAAAGCCTTTTTGCCTGGGTTGCAGCGCCTTTTCCTCAACCGTGGACGTGCTGGAGGGCAAGTACGGACTGGCCTCGGAGGAGTTGGGATGACCGTCCGAATGCCGGGGGGCAACGCGATCGAGCGCTTCTTCTTTCCAAACGGCGAGGGGGCCAGGCGCATCTTTTAGTCGCCGCCGATGGCGCCGGCCGTCTTTTGGCGTCCGCTCCGGCCAACTCCACCTTTTTGTTATCGCCAGTCGCGTGTCACGTGCGAGCTTTGGGAGGATTTCCGTTTTACTGCTTGAACAGTTAAAAAAGGGGGTTGGGGGGGGGGCGGTTGCCTCAAAGCTGTTACGGGCGTACAATAAAAGCTGATCTTCAAATGTTTTTGGGGGGGAGGGGGGGCCTCATTGTCGAGCGCAAAACACAAAAGAGAGAGGCAGCGTTTTGATGGTGAACATTCCGCTTTTACCCGAGCAAATCCGTTGCAAACGTCCACATTTGGGAGTGGCCAAAAGCAATCGGGCGCGCGTCCGTCTTGCGACGACGAGCCGCTTTTGGGCAGTTTTTGCCATCAAAAGCGCCGACGAGGCCGCTGCCAACAATGCCTTGTTGTCGTCATGACTCGACTCGACTCGTCCGGACTCTTTGAAACGCGGCGTTGGGGCGCTTCTCGGGGGCTGCGGTCCAGCTTGGAGAGTCACTGTTGGGTTGGTTTTTGTTTTTTTTTTTTTTTCTTCCCCTTTTCCAATCAATCGCCAGATTTCACTGCTTGCAATCTTGTCAATTTACCGCCGGAATAAAAGTCATCAACGTCACCGAGGTTTGTGCTGTGCTTTGTGTGGGAACGGACGTGTATATATATATATATAATTTTTTTTTTTTTTTTTTTTTTTATATATATTTGAAAAAATCCGCGATGCACTGAAGCCGTGATCATCGAACCGCGAAATAGCGAGGGATCTCTGTACGTGTGTGTGGGAATCATTTTATCTCTCTCTCTCTTTTTTTAATCAAGCCCAAAATTCAAGCAAACCGGAAAGGAGGAAAAAAAATGGCAAAGAGCGTCACGGTTTCCAGGTTCGCGCGGCGACGAGCGCCGTTTTTCCCTCCGGTTTGTTCCCGAAGAGGGAAGGCGCGTCGCCGGAGCTCCTCGGCCTCACAGGAGCCAGCGCTCCTTCTCCCGGTGGAATTTCTCGGCCCAGCGTCTGGTCAGCTCCAGGTAGCGCCGGGGCCCGTGCGGCCGGTAGTCCAAGTAGACCCTGGCGGCGCTCTTCTTGGGCACGGCGCTCTCGATCTGCGTGCCCTCGTGCCACTGGTTGAAGGAGGCGACGGCCAGCGCGTCGGGCCGCGCTGTACATGCCGTCGAAGCCGCCCGCCGCGATGTCCCGCCCGTGGCGCTCCTCCACCATCAGGGCCAGGAAGACGCCGTCGTAGGCCGAGCCGCGCAGGCTGCGCGACCCGCCCGCCGTCAGCAGCCGCGCCCAGGACTCCGCCGGCGTCAGGTACGAGTCGTAGACGTAGAACAGGGGCAGGCCCTTCCCCGCGCCCCACGCCGACCTGTAGACGGCCGCGTGCTCGCCGTACCTTGGGTGGGCGAGCGGGACGGGTCCGCTGAGGAGGCGAGGCCCCGCCGCGCGCAAAGCGGCCCGGACGCTCTCCTTACCTGTCAATGATGTACTTGACGTTGTCGAGCACGCTCTGTTCGTTCCGTTCTCGGTACGGTTGGATGTGAAACGCCACCTGGAAGAAGAGCGGCGGGCATGCGGCGTGTGGGCTCGGGGGGCATATTCGGCCTTCTAGCCTAAGCCTTGTCCCGTCTGCTTTCGAACGTCCTGTCCTGGCTGATACCGTCCTGTCCCGTCCGGTCTATGGCGTCCCGTCCCGCCCGCTCCACTCCCGTTCTGTTCCGTCTACTCCATCCTATCTTGTCCTGTCCCATCTTGCCCTTTCTCGTCTTGTTCTGTCCTACCCCTTCCTACCTTATGCTGTCCTGTCCTGTCCTGTCCTAACCCATCCCGTCTTCTTTCGCCCTGCCCTTTCCCATCCTTGACTCGGGCCGTCCAATCTTGCCGCGTCCCGTATTGTCCGAGCCTGTCCTTTTCTGTCCCGTCCCATCCCGTCTTGTCTCGCGCCAACCCGCCCGAGCCCATCCTCTCTCTCGTCCCGTCGCCGCAGTAGGAATAGAGCTCTGTTGTAAGCTCCGGTGTCACATGATTTACCAAACCGGAACCGTGTTTGTCATCCCCAAGCATACACTTGGCGACACCGACGAAAGTTTTATCGTCGTCAGATGCACGCACACAAACGCCATCGGGGCAAAACACCTCAAAAGTGTGAAGCCGGAACGACAGCAACAACGCGTGGGTTCATTTTGTTCTTACCTTGAGATTGTGTCTATAGGCGCCGTCTAGTATGGAAGGTACGAAATCTTCCGTGGGTTCCCCGTTGTCATCGGCCATGCCAGGAGGATACCAGGACAGCACCAGAACCCCTGCAGAACCATCCAGGCAAATCCTTTCAGAGCCCTGCCACCAGGCGGCGCCTAAGCAATACTTTTCGGACAACAAAAGGTAGCGCAGGTTTTTTTTTTCCTTTTTTTTTTCGGCAGAGGATAAGAGGACGGGTTCCCAAAAAAGTACAGTTTAGTTGCATTTAATGTTATGTTGTTGCGTGTGCTTTTTGGTACAGTGCGAATTCTTTTCTACCTCTTGTTAAAAACGTATTACACCAAAAATGGTGTTGTGGCTGGATCAGAGACTCTAATCCCATTTGATTGGAAAATTTGAAGTCGCCACCGTGCATCGACAAATATATTCGATCTAAAAAGATTTCCGAGTGACTCCAGTACGCCGCACATGGCCGAGGGAGCTGTCCGTGGTACTGGACGATTGCTTGCAGGATCGCGTTCAGAAAGTCGCGATCAACTCTCAGAAAGTCACCTCGTTTTATAGACATATTAGTCTGGGTGCTGCTGCTCAAAATAGGCCCGAGTTGAGCCGTCGCCAAACGTTCGCGCTAACCTGCCGCCGAAGCCGCGATCTGCTCCATGTGGGACTCCAGCACGTCCGGGTCCCTGGAGCTGTACGG